CTCCCTGATGATAATTTTAATTATACATAGATACTTACTAATTCACAAATAATATATGGAATAAAGATAAAACACATTTCAATAAAAGGAAAAACATTCTGAGCAACAATGCTACCAATTAAATTGCATTCAAATTAAAAAAAAACACCTTGTACATATTCAGGCTTACCTAATTGTACATATTGTAATTGTAATTCTAATTGTACATTCTAATCACTTTAAAAGTAATCTCATTACTTCAAAATCAATCCAACTGTGGCAGAAATTTTAACACAAGGTCATATTCCAATATATCAATTGTGAACTAGAAATCGTTCTCATTTTCAAAAAGTTGAGTTAATAAAATAAAAATTAGACTAGACACAGATAATTCTCATCACAAGTAATCTTAATTTAAAACATGAACAACATATAATCCACAAACTAAAATTGGAATATTACAAAACATCAAGTTAAGAATAAACAACTAAACAAAAAAAAAAAAACACTTATTGAGTTATAAAAGTAATATCTAATAATGATTAAACAAATTTTAATCAGTTTCTATTCTTTACAAACCATTTAACCATACACTTATCTCACACCTCATACTAAGATCTATACATTAATAATGTAATTAATAGTATTTTTCAAAGTTGCATTATATCCTTGAAATTAAGGTATTTTTAAATATTTTCTTACAGGTTTTTAACTCTATCTTAATCATTATTTAAATAAATGTTGAGGTTTCAAGAGCTAGTATTGAGGTTACTATAAATTAAGGCACATAAATATTATCTGATTTACAATTCTATTAGTCGTTGAACTGTAATCACAATTATAATTTATGTGAACTAGATTTCATAAAAGCTCATGTCATATTAGAATGACAGGCTTTATCATCACTTTAAATTGGAAAAACACTTTGGTCTAAACACGCTCGATTGTACATTGTTGAAGAATAACACTGATGGTTAGAATAGTTTTATAATTAATCCCAACATATTAATTCCCAATTGTCCATAGGCAAATAAATAAATACTAATAGAATTCAATAAATAAAATTTAGTAAATTCTTTTCTAATAAATTTAAATTTATTCATGTTTCAGTGATCTCAGCAAAGTTTTAACCACTCATGAATAATCTTCAAACAAAATTGTTGCAGAAACAATGGATAAAACTCACTGTCCTTGCCTTTGGGACAATTTATTCAATTGTATTTACATAGGACAACATACTCATTGCATGTATCTATGTAAAATAACTTTAAAAAACACTTAATACTTGAACACAATATTGTTTTAAATAATAAAGTAAATTAAAATAATTATGTTAATAATGAAGCTAAAGAATGTTTTGACAGTAGGGATTCAAATAATAGAGACATAATAGGAGAACCAACTTTAAAATAAGAAACAAAAAAAGAAGTATAGTTAATTTGTTTTAAAGCTTATCAGTTGGTTTGATTAGTTAAACAATATAATATGGATGTATAGTATAAATGCAACCGATAAAATTCTCCACTTTTAAAGTAAGCTGAATTTGTATACCATATCTGTATCAAAAAGAATGAAATAAAACAAAGGCTCGCCATAAATTGCTGTAATAGATATACTTAATTTTAAAAAAATAAAAATACAATTTCATGGTAATTATAATATAATTTACAATTCTGTATAGATTATGAAAGTTAGTAAATTAATGTAAACAGGTATAAATCTAAGACATCATTTCCTGCTTCCTTTGTATTAATTAGATCATTGAATGTTGTGGTATTTCATAACACATTGAGGAGTATCTTACGGGGTTAAAGGTTGTAAGTGAACATACTTGGAAACAAAGAAAAATGGGAATAGTAAATAAAAATTAAAACTATCATGAATTATATCTTTACAAGATTTTTATTATTACTAGTATTGTATAACTACATTAAATTTTAGGATCACAGTTTATTGAATAAACTAAATAATATTGATAACGATTTTTATAAAAGAAAATGCACATTTTTAACTAGTAGGCTGGCATCGCTAACTATTAAATTAAAGATAAATATCTATCAAGTAACCAGTAATCAATCTCTTGTGTTACTGTTATAAAAAAAAATCTACAATTAATATACTAACTATATTAAAATATTTAAATAGAGAGAAAAGTGTTTGGATTTTTTTTTTTTTAAACAGATGCATAAAAATAATTTATAATTAAAAAAAAACAGAATCATGTAACTAAAAAAATTTCCATAACAGCCTCAAAGGAACTAACATAAATTATGTCAACTTATGCACCTATTGAATCTTTTAAGTTTAATAATGACGTATAAAAAAAACACATTTCTTTGGACTAAGATTAAACAAAAAATAAAATATTTAACTTATAAAATGTTTAGGAATGATGAATTTTTTTTCTCAAACAATCATACTTATGAAACATTAATTTAATAAAATGATTAAGAATCTTATATGTTAATTTACTGAATTTGTTTCCTCAACAAATACCACCACTTTACCGTTATGAGTCTTGTGTTAATCGAGAAATGTCTGGTTTCAATGGAATGTTATCCTTCAATAACAGTCTTAGTCAATTGTTTTTTAATTGAAAAGAAAAACAGACAGAGATATTATAAGAAATATTTAAAAATAGTGGTAAAAACATTCAGAGTGTAAATAAAATGTGATTATAAATTATTAATCAAGTAGTACTTGTGAACAATAAATAAAGTGAACCTGAATCATTAATGCATAATATAAATTTAATTTATGTTACAATTAATGCATATTATTTCATTTATAAGCCAAATCATTAAGGTTAAGATGCAGTAAAACAGAGCATAAAGGAATGATTCATTTAAAACTTAATATGTACTTTAATATTGACACTGTAATATTTCAGCAATCAGACCATTTCCAGTAGTTTATATTTTTCAAAAAAAATAAAAAAATAGTAATAATAAAATAAAATTTGCAAGGCAGTGGATTAAAAAAAAAAACATGACATGAGATTGATTCTTTTTTCATTTAGGAGCAAAATCAATTATTCATTTCAAGCACAAAATGTTATTTAATCACTTTTATAATTTAATTTAAAGTGCTAAGAAACTATATTTTAATAATTTTTAATTTAAAACAATATATTAACAGAATATTATTGCAAATAAATTGAAAATAATTCATTTCAACAAATAAAAGTGATACTTCCTTACAGAATAAAAGTTAAATTTGTTTCGGTCAGTAACTTAGTTTAATTTTTTCTACCACGTATTTATGCATTTATTGTAATAAACAAAATTGTTTTGAATGCGGTTTTGCAACGAAAATTTTCCAACATTCAGCATTATTGTTGCATCTGGTAGGTTAGTGAGTAAACTGTAAAATATTAACTAGGAAAATCTATTAATAACACCACATCTAAAAATAATTGGTTTGGTTTTTCTGAAACCTTAGGCAAAAGTTTCTCATTTTGTTAGAAAGAATTATGAAATTTATTATTTATGATCTGACATTTTAACAAAAGTTGTGATGTAATATATATTGCATACCGTCTTAATAAGCCATAAAAAATTAATTAATTTCATAAATATATACTCATCAAAGAAATTTCGGATATACCATTTAATAGAATAGAAAAATAATTTCTTCAAGTACACGAATATTAATCTTTATAAAATTAATAATTAACTCTTGAATTATCAATGCTTTTATTAGATGATAGACCAACCATTAACTTAAATAAGGTAAATCTCTACAGTTCACTGGTATAAAGAAATTTTAAAAAATACATAGATAAAATGTATCTTTATAATAAAAACATACATAATGAACAAAATTTAAAAAAATTAACATGAAAGACTAAGAATCTATCACTTTCTGATTGCACAATTTAGCTCCAATATCAGCAATTGCTTATCATTTATGATTATTGGTTTCAACATTAAATAATAATAAAAATTCTATCATTAGGATACAAAAATGTTGATTATTTTGACTCTTTGCACCTTTCATCGGAACAATAAGCAATACAATTTTAAAGTTTTTAAAAGTATAACATCAACATATTCATATAAATAAACAACAATAATTAACCCAAATTATTCATAAAAACAATTTTTTAAAAATTGAAAATATATTTTTTTAAAATAAATAAATAAGTAATAACATTGGGTGCAGATTGATAATTTTTACATGTTAAACAAACTGAGAAGACTTCTTTAATTATTTTTACAAACCCATGGAATAATCATAATTTTTTTCTTAATTGAACAAGTGTTCACCGCTAAAAAAATAGGAAAAATAAATAAATAACATTTTAGAAAAATTATAACATAAGTTAACAAATTGGAATCTAGTTCCTGAAGATCTATTTTGCAATCCAAAACAAGGAACTGACACTCATTACATCAAACAATATATATTAATAATTTATATTTTTTAGAAACAACTTTTAGTTGAAATAGTAAGAAATTTAATTTTGGACGATCAAAATACAAAATAACTATATTTCCCTAGAAACTAAAGGCATTTTGTCAGGAAAATTAATTAGTACAAAGATTGCAGTTAAATAACAAACCAAAAACAGTGCAGTGTTCAATGAAATAAAAAAAAAACAACACACAAACCAGAGACCAGATTTTATTACTATGCATATTTAACTTGCTTGATTATTTTAAGCTTTCATACAAACATCTTTCTGAATCAGTGAATTCAGACACAGACGAACGAACTATTATATAGAATATTTTTCAATAACGAAATCAAAATGTTTCAATAAAGAATTTTAATTTAGAAGTAAATGCCTAGGAATACAAAGAAACAGATTTTAAACAGAAATCCAACCTATAAAATAAAAATTAATGTAATTCCACATTTTGAGTGTATTTAAATAAGTTGCACTGCTTAACTCAGTTGATGTTCAACAATTTTCTTCAATTTACAAAATTCTCTTAGTAAGTGACAGAATATTAAAATTTAAATCAGAGATCAAAATTGGTTTTTGTAATTTTACTATTTTATTTTATTTTATAATAATGTTTATTTTATATCTTCATGTTGAATTGCATTGGTTTTAAAAACTGAGAAAACTTAATTAATATTTCTTTTCTTTATGTAAAAATATCTGATTAAAAGGAAAGTTAAAAAGATTTATAAATATACAATTCAAATGAAAAGTTATATTTAACTTTTAGTTTCTTCTTTATGTTAAAAAATCATCATTTATAATATTGAGGTTTTGAGTAAGAACGATTAGATTAATTTGAAGTTAGAACATTTAACTGTAACATTACATATAAAATAATTGCATGTACAGGCTAATTTATTTGTAATAGTTTTTACTGCATATTTAAGGTTTTTCTACTTATTTTGGCATGTTTCTGCATAAACTGCTCCAGTCTCTGATAATAAAATCAACAAATCCAATCAACAACACTCAAACATATCAATCAATCAACAAGGTGCAATATTCACTTCATAAAAATATTTCTTTGATCTTTAATTTGTAACAGTTGCATCAGTTGGCACATCTAAGTACAATTTTTTAACATCTTTTCTGGTTAAATAATGCCACCTCTATATTTATAAGATCTCCTTTTGTGTATTAAAAGCTTTTGTTCAAAATGCCTTGGTTTATTACTACATGAATACTGATTTTATAATTTTTTTTTTTTTTTAATTTTTAATCACAACCATTAAATGGTACAAGTGATCAATACACAATCAAGCATAGACAGAAATATGTGGCCAGATATAATGCCAAAATAAATAAAATAAAATTTGAATACAAAAATAAAAGTATTTTTCTATAGCAACGTATTTTGCCATTCAGATTTTTCAGGAACAAGGCAATGAAAATCTGCTATCCACATTTTCTGTCTAAAAGCCGATTAGCTTGTAATTACTTTACTCAACACTATTAGTACAAGCCTTCTCAATTGAAGTAGGTATGTTGTGTTTAGTCTTGCTCTCCAAGGAATGGCCCAGAAGTTCAGGACAAGGATTAACTCCCTCTTGTATCCTTTGTATTTCTTTTAAGAGATCAAAATTGATTTCATCATTTATAATAGAATCCTGCCTGAAATTTCAGAAGAAAAAAAAAATAAATTTTTGTAACAAATATGTCTAAAACAAAGAGAGTTAAAAAAGTGAATCTCACTCATATTAAAATAACAAGAATTGGTTCTGTTGTGCTATGTTGAAATATAAATTTCACTGTAGTGGACAACAATGAAAAATGTTTTAATGTTTATTGCTCAGGTATATCAAGAAAGAAGAAGAGTTATATTTCATGACGGAGAATAATAATCTTCATCATGGTAAGAATCAATTCTGAATGGCAACGATTACCACTCGGATTTCTCCTTTTCTTGTGCATTTAAGGGAGAGAGTTTTAAATGGATCTTTGATAGAAAGTTTGTGATATAAAATTATATAACATATTTTTCACCACTTTGTATTGTGATAGACTTTCTTAACAATTTCACACTAAAAAAGATCTTTTTTTTCCCTTCAATTTTGCATAAAAATAATTTATTCTGGATTCTGCATTCAGAATTTGATATAAGTTATTACATTTATAAATTATAATGTAAATAAAACTCTGGTAAATAAATACTGGATATTTGGCCAGGAAACATTAGTAATATTCAAGAAAACAAAACACTAGGAAGTATAAAGTCACTTCAACTCTTTATAAAAAGGATGTAATTTAGACTTTTTAAAAGTGGAAAAGGCATGGTGAGATATATTGGATGAATGGTTTTTCTGGGGAAGGGTTTATTCAAATCAAAGTTTATTCAAAGATTTTTAATGGTGAGATAAAATTTGATGGGAATATCATGTAGGAATTGGGATGGAATATTAGGAATAGTTATTAATATTGCCTTTGTCTTCTCCAGATTAAAATTCAACTGGTTTTATTAATATACTTATAGCTTCTGCCCAGTTGCAGATTCTACTTAAATCTTCTTGAAATTTGTTTGTAGGTGGTAATATATCAAAAGGTGCGAAGGAGAGGGAATTCAGAAATCATATGCATATAAGATATTGAGAGTGATAGATTAGTAGGAGAAGGTCATTAATGTAAATAGCAAACAGAGTAGAGTATAACGGCGGAATCCTGAGGGACACCACAGGAGAGGGAAAGTTGAAAAGGAAGATCTAGGTTGATCAGGGAAGACTACATACTGGGACCAATCTTACAGCAAGAATTTGAACCAATGCAGGACACTGTCAGATATAGAAAGATTTTGGTTTAGTAAGTATTCCAAAAAAAAAAAGGAAGGAGTATGCTGTGGTCAACTGTTTCAAATGCTTTGGAAAAATCTAGTCAGTTTTTGGTGTTCAATGGAGTTTTGGAGATCATGGGTTATTTTTGCATTTATGGTAATGCTTGCGTTGAGTAGCCAGATTGGAGAGAGTAGATAAGAGAATGTTCTTCAAGGAAGTTTTAAAGGAGTCTGGAATTCTGGATTGCAACAGTTTTCTTTATGATTTTTTCATATTTCAGTTAAATAAAAAAAAATGTTACTAATATAATAATAAATACTTTTTTTTATAAGCATACAGTTATAGATAATTTTCTTCGCTCTATTATTTTTTTTTAATTTAAATTTTAAAAGTATTTCAATTTTTTTTTTCATATTACTCCAATCAACTATTATAATGTTCTGTTGGAATCTAACTAATTACTTAATTGGGAACCAGAACATATAATAAAGAGTAGCCGCTTTTTTTTTTTTTTTTTTTTTCCACTTTTCATTTTAGTGAGCCAAGATGAAAAATTAACTTGAGAATAAAAAAATTAAGATTACTTGTATGACGGATGTTGTCGAACAAACTGTCGAATCCATGATGCAGTTGTAAGTAATTCCCCTGATGCTCTTTTTTGTATTAAATTTAAATATTGTTGAATCGAACAGAAAGTATCTGCATCTACATCCATACTGCTTAGATAATTTTTTACCAACGGAACCAGTCCTGGAAATGATCCTGCCTAAAAAGCAGTAAGTCATGTTATAAGAGACAACACTGACAATTTTAAACACATTTTGAAATAAAGAGTAAAATATTAAAATGTTGATAAAGGGCAACAAACTAAGTAATTAATAAATAAATCTGTGGCTTGATATTCCTTGAGGAGATGAAAAATGCTAAATTGGATGACACTAACAAACTATTTTATCACTAAATTCAATTTTAAAAAAGGTTCTATTAAAATACACAGTAGCAAAGTATAATGATGGATAAGAAGTGATACTTCGTAAGAGCTAAAAAAGTAGATTTTAAGTTTTGATACCATTAATTCCATGTTTTCGACTGATTAAGACCTATTTGTAGATGAGGCTATGTATTAAAAATAAAGTCATGATATTTGGAGTACTTAAAGAGTAATCAACTTTTCTAGTGATAACTTGTTTTTAGCAAAAACATAGATCCAACAATAAAATAAAAAAATTATTGTATTTTAATATGCATTTTTAAAGTGATAAAAATTGGACAATTTAAAGATTTTAATGGTGTTTTAGAATAATTGTTGGTCTATACTGTAAAGTAGTTATTTTACAGTTAGACTGAATTACCTATTGATATACAATTATAATCATGAATAAATTTTATTAGGATTCAATTTAATAATTTCTTGAAATCACACAAATTTACAGGGGAAAAAAAAACTAAAAAAAGGAGTAACATTTGAATACCTTTCCATTAATGATTTGGTTGATAGTCATCGCGCCATATTCATCATCCGTTTCAGTTATTTCATGATTTTGTTCTTTTTCTGGAGGAAGAATTTTTTTCCTAAACCAAAACACTTCTTCTCTAACAGCAGATCTTTTTTGTGCTTTCTGCATGTTTTCATCAACCTTTAAAGTCACATTTTTAAACACTATATTATAATTTTTGGAAAAAAAAAATCTAAATTACTAATAAAAATAAAAATGTAAACAAATAAATCAGTGATAAGAACAACAATTATTTAAATGCAGTTCAATAAAAAATCAATAATGAATCTAGCAATACATAACTAATTACCTTGCTAATAGGAATAAGCAGATTCAATCTGTAAGAAAGAATCACCCTTGTAAATAATACAATGAAGATTACTATGGCAGCATTTTCAAATTCTGTTATTTGAAGTTCACATGGCCTGAATTCTACACGCCAGCCAATAGTACTGTTAGGTGGAGGTGGTTTAAATCTCATAGATTGCCAATTAGTGGACTGAATATTCTGAAAAGACAAAATAATGTAAATATATCTCTATTCAAAGTCTGATTTTTGTTTACTGTTTAATGACTAGAAATTTCTTACCTCAAAGTGATCTGTGTCATTAGGTGTTTGATAAACTTTTTCTGAGAATAGTGAAACAGTATCTCTGAAAATATAAAAAAATATTAATAAATAAGGCTACAATAATAAATAAATCACAATAGTGTATTTTACAAAAGAAAAATGGTGTCTATACCTAATGAAGAGATGGGCAATATGTTTTGCAAGCAATTCATCAACTCCTGCAGCATTCAGTTCATTGAAAATATTTTTGTCATGTATCACAGGTATATCATTATATCTAAAACATTAAGGAAAAAATGATAACAATTTTAATTTAATTCCTATAAATTAAATTTTATATATTTTGGAATTTCCCAAGTTTTATTTTTTGTTTCAAGTTAGAAAATCAATAATTTTAAACTGACCACAGAAAAAGTTCCTTTTTTATTTAATGAAATTAGTACAATAAATGTAATATATTTACTAGGAGTAGCAGCCTACTTACTTTAACTACTAATACTATATAAGGTAATGGTATTATTTATTATACAAAGTAAATCTTTAGTATAACAATACTTCTTAATGCTATTCATTTGCGTTTTTTTTTAAATGAATATTTTATTTAAAAGAGGAAGTAGATAACATTAATTTAATTATAAAGAATGACGGTCAGAGTAAATAGAAGTTGGAGATACATGCATTCAGGTTCCAAAAGTAATACAAGTACCATTAACTTCATTTGATTTCTAGCTTTATAATTATTTATTTTCCTTCAATGATTAATAATAATTTTTTTCATAGAATCAAGATCAAAATTTTCTCAGGGACTAATAAGGAGTTACTTTGATTTATTGAATGAGATATAATAAGACAGCGATAAAAAAAGATTATAATCAATTTAGAAAAGAAATGAACATATCCAAAATAAATATAAAAAACGAGATTAAACCTTTAATACATAATCCTGATATATAAATTAATGCAAAAATTAGGAAAAGGTAAAAAGAAGGACTAAATAAAAAGAAAATAATGAAGAGCTCTTTTGTGTTGAAGTCATGCTGCAGTGAACCTCAAGGACAACCACATTTTTGTATTCATTTTCTTGTTCCCTTGTATTCTCCTTCTAACTTGATAATTAAACACAAGGACACACTAATTACAAAAAAAAAAAGAGGTTGCGAACATTGTATATTCGGCAACATAGTAATCTACTAAGGAGGGATGAATAAGGAAAAAAAAGCAAATAAAGGTCGTAGTAGAAGAATGTTTTTTTTAACGTTCATAGATTAATAATCTCATATAAAGTAATGTCCCATAAAATTATCAACAAAAAGTTATTTATTTAATTTTTTTATTATTATTTAAGAAGTATAAAATAGTCTAATATATTCTCAATTGCCTTAAAAACTATTAGTAACACAAACTTTATGATCATAAAAATATTAGATATTATTTTATTTCTCTCTTAAAAAAAATTAAATATTTACAACAATTTTAAAAAAATTTCAATAATTTTTTATTTAGTTTACAAAATAGAATATTTTCTAAACAGCCTCATGAAATCATCAAAAGTGGGAGAATAAATAAATGTTTTATGACAGCCTTTTGGATTATTTTAAATTATCATAAAAATCCAAGAACCCCTTACGAATTTATTACAAGAATATTGCATGACCGATAATGTTTGTAATTTTAATCCATTAAGATTGTAAGGGTCAATGATATTCCTACAAAGAAATAAAGTTCAATAGATATTATTGAAGTTCTAGAAGAGAACTTAAACAAAATAAAACCATTTAATTTAATTTGCTATCAATTTAGTCAAATAAAATATAACTCTGGGTCCTTAATCTCACCAAAAACTTAAAAATGTCCATTTTTAGAATTTTATCTAAAAACAGATTTTTTTTTAATACTCCTAAGTCATTATTATTATGAGATATATAATAAAAGTGCAAAAGTGGTTCAGTTAAACATTGAAAAAACTCTGCTGTTAAACTTGAAACAAAGCTTTCAACAGTAATTGAATCAGAAGTTGGAAAAAGGAAATGATACCAAAATTGACACTTGAGTGAAATTAACATAAAACTGCATAACTATTTTTTTGATTTAGAATTTCGATTTCTTTCTTTTCATGGTATACGTAAACGTTTGTTATACAGAAAAGTAAATAAATTGTTTTACTTTTGTTCAGAAAAATTTAAAACTTTTTTGAATATATTTCTTTCTTACAGTAAAATTTTTTTTTCACATTTTTTTAGAAAAAAAAATAAAAATAATTCTTCATAACTCTCACATATAATAACGTAAACATAAATAAAAACAAATACGTTTTTTGTATGATTCATTTTCACCACTACTCCTAAGGCCATTGGTAGCAAGGTATCTTTTCACAACCTCTTATGACATTTTGTTTCCTTTAGGTATTGAAACAAACTGACAATTTTCTCTTAATTATCTTCTAAGATTTCTTAAATTCTTTAAACAATTTTTATTTATTTCTGATTATTTCAAATTAGGAGCACTTTTGTAATAAGTGTTTGATTCTCTGAGGTGTTTAAATTGTCACATTTTGGAAATGGGGAAGTTCAGAAATCTGATTTACAGATTCTAAGAGCAGAGTTTGTGGACAGAATTTAATATTCTTAGCAATGTTATGTTGCCTACTCCATTTGTATATAAAAAAAAACAAAATTAAAAATTATTATTTTATTAAATAATAGTTCAAAATTGTTTGCAGATCAATGTTGTTACTTTGATACTACAGAGTTGTTAATATGTTTATCTGTTGGTATTGTTATGAACATGTCAAATATTCAATCTTCATTACTAAAGGCACCTCTAAAATATCTGAGTAAAATGGTTTTCTACCTTCTGGAATAAATTGAACTATTTTTTCCAGTCAACATTCACTTCTAACAAATAGAATGTATGAGCATTGATTGGTATGGTTTCAACTATGTTTTAAATTTTTTCTTCCTCATTTTTAATAAAAATAGTAAAAAAAAAATCTATTGTTGGTAATTATTTTCTCTGTGTAATGTCCAATTCAATTATAAAATTACTTTTCTATAAGAAAAAATTAACCGTCTGAGAATTATGCATGAACACAAAAATGTGGTAAACTATTCTATGTTGACTAATATCCTACTTTATTGTACCATAAAAATTCAATAGTTATTTATTAACCAAAATTTTCAGCAGCAGAAGCAGTAAAATATATAAATATATATATCAACTAGAAGAATGAGAAAACATTTGCAAAGATTTGCTCTGCTCATTTTTCTTTAAGAGGCCAAGGAAATATCCTCCGAGCTTGTTAAATTACTCTTATATTTCCAAGTTGTTGGTGGTTCCTATGAAATCTAGTGAAATAGACACTCAAGTTTTCTTATACTACTGTCAATATACAGTAATCCTTATCTCCTATTTATATGCAAGATTTCCATTAAAAGTTTTCAACAGAGAATTGAAAACATTTCTAAAACCGTATATTTTATTTTATTAAATATCCGAGGTCTAGGGCTAAATACTTTAAGTACTCTATACATTTATTAGGATTTCTGATAATTATATTTATAGTTTCAATGAATATATATAACTTAATTCTTATAAATTTATCATGAATCTAAATGATAAAGAAACTTACTTTTCCCCTAGAGGACTTAAATAGCTATCTATGCTAGCATAACGTGACTTTGGAATCACAAATTGGTTATTCTTCAGTGGTTCTAATCCCCTTTCTTCACGAGTCCTGTCATCAACAGATCCTGATATCACATTCCACCTACAATCTGTGTCTGTTAGGACTCCGTGATGTATAGGAGATGCTGCTGACAATGCCAACTGTAAAAATAACACAAATATATGAAAAAATTAGTCTTGAAAATTATTTTTATTCATATCAGATCAATATATAATGTATATATCTGCTGTTTTTTTTTTCTGTAAAATAGGTTTGTATAACCAAAGATTTATTTTAAAAATCGACCATAATATATAAAAAATAAATAAATACAATAATTCAATTTACTAAGCTACAAAAATATTTTCCCTCTTTACATATCAAACAAAAACTAAACTATAAAAAAGTGAAATACCCAATATCTTGTTCTATTTATTAAGCTACAAAAATATTTTCCCTCTTTACATATCAAACAAAAACTAAACTATAAGAAAGTGAAATACCCAATATCTTGTTCTATTCACTAATTTTTCTTTTGTTTAATCAGCAAGGGACAGGCAAGTCAAATTTCATGCAATATCGTATTATGAAAAACTGCCACATTTACTTAAAGGACTGTTCAATTCAAGTTAATGAAGACTCTTGTTCAGTCTACTATGTGAAAAATTTTCAGAATGGAAGTAGTTAATTTTGTAGTGATTTAGAGCTGAGTATAATGTATAATATTCGTTATATCATTTATTATCTATTATCCTTTTATATTACATAATGAAACAGGATTTTGAAAATCTGAAATGCTACTATTAATGTTTTATTTTTCTTTCAGAAGTTGATTTATTTATTTATTTGGTACATTTGCCTGTGGGCAACATTTCGTCCATGTACCATCACAATCATTTCTGCCTGGACCAACATGTATCAGCCATCACTATGATATCAGATGTATCAGACATCTGATAACTACATGTGGTGTTCCTGAACACAAGTTCTTATAAAACGTTCTTTTTATTTATAATTAATATGCAATTAACTTAGATTTCATTGATATAATAGAATTATAACAGTATTTTCTACCAATCTTCTTAATTGACCTTTTTTTTATTTTTTTCTAATACCAACCAAAAACTGAAGGACAGTGTTACATGCTTATATACTCGCCTCTTAGTCTATTGTTTAAAATTAGTTTTTAAAACCTTAAAAGTTTCATTTTCCAAATTAGGAAATATTGACCAATTGAAATCATGTGCAAAGATCATGTAAAATTTAGCATTCATAATTCTTTACAAAGAAATTTTTCATGTTTAATTTATTTTAATGTATATAGATACATCTTTTATGTTAATTTTCTAACTTACTATTCTATCTTAGTCTGATAAATTAAAATTCAATTGAAAGGAGAATGGCCCCGAGTTCCCTTGAGTATCTCGGATAATATATTAAGAAACATTCAGATATTTTTAATAAAAATAAACACTTATTGTGGACATGTTTTAATTTTCTTGGCTATTAGTGAGAGAAATACAAAACAAGAATCATACTTTACTTCACCAATCCAATTCACATCAGCAAGTACAATATGGAAAGAAGAATATGCTAACAATTAGCTGAGTTTTATTGACTGTTACTTCAACAGTTGTAAAGTATTTAGTTTTACGAATTTTGTGTAATTAATACTTTTTTGAAAATGATATATTATTTATAAGAGTAAAGATGTTAGCCTAATATCATTTTTACTTGGAAAGCATTAAGGAAAAGGATAGACATCTAATGTGAGGGTCCTTGCTCGAATATTAATGAAATATACTATTTCAGCAATAAATGCTTCATAATTTATTTTAAGTTTCATTAAGAGTAAAAATAAGAATTACATACCAGTATTGGACATAATGGTGTTAACTGATCATAGAGGATCCTCGCTTCATCCATATTAGATGCCTACAAAATTAAAACATATTATATACAGAATATCGTTTTTATTAAATAGACATAGTTTTTAAAAATAAATAAATAAAATTGGCATTCCTCTAAACTGATATTATTATTAATTACATTCATCATATTTCATAAAAAGATGGCATGAATGGATAACGAATGATTTTTTGAAGGTAGTGGTATTAGGAAAGGAATACTGATAGGTTGAGATGTAGCATTTATAGTGTAAATAGACGACTGTAGAGTGAAGAGTTCTAGGATGTAGGAAGATTGGTTCTAAGACTAGGGGAAAAAAAAAACACCAAGGAGAAATGCTATCGGGAAATAGTATAAAGCCATTTCAACTCTGTGTACCAACAAGAAAAATGGGAATGCATGAGAATCCAAAAGATAAATCTTATGAACTAATTCTTAAGTCTGAGGTCATAACAGCAGAGAGTGTAAGGGCTTAGAAAGCTTAACAATTAGCTGGATCAGTTTAAATCTCACCTGAGTGAGCCAACATTTAGTTTTTAGCAGATCCATGAAATATTTCTTCACCCTTTCACTCTGGTTAGAATAAGTTGGTTACCTGCAGGATAAACCTTCATCCCACCCATATGTCAGAAATGGCCAGGTAAGAGGTAATAGTAAAAAAAAAAACTCATCAGTCTCATATCCAGCCCTCCGTACAACAAGCAACCATAATTGAAAATCAGGGGAAAAAAAAAAATTACAAGGATTAATCCTTGCCATAAATTCATTTCTCAAATGACCAGATACTTTTTTACAATTTACATCAGAAAATTATGAAATCCAAGTTTTGATGAAAATCAGGGGGAAAAAAAAACTTTACAAGGATTAATCTTTCCATAATTCATTCTCCCCATCCCTCACAAAAACCCCAAACCACCTCCCCACAACATACCACCCAAACCAATACACCAAAACCATACCCAACAAAAAAAAAAAAAACCACACCCCTAACTCATCCACCCCCCACCCAAACCCACCACCCCCAACCACCATACCCAACCCCCCCCCCCCCCAACCACACCCAACCCAATACCAACAACCCCCCACAACCACATCCAAAACAATCACCCCCACAAACACCCAAAACCCCCACCCACCACCACAAACAACCCAACAAAACCCATCACCCAAAACTCCCCCCACCACAAACCCAAAACCACAACCTCCACACACCCAACACAACCCCCCCCCCCCCACCCCCCCACCCAACCACCCCCCAAAATCCACCCCACCCCACCCCACACAAAAAACCAACCCCCACACCACCAACCCCACAACCAAAAACACAAAACAAACACCCCACAACCACCCACACCCCCCACCCAACACCCACCACCCCACAAACCAAACCACTAACCCACCCCCCCAACCCAACACCCACAACCACACCCCACCCCCCCACAACACCAAACCACCACCCCCCCACCCCAAAACCCCAACCAAACCCACCCCCCACACAACCCACAACAACCACAACCCACCCCCACACCCAACACACCAACCACACACCCACCCACCCACACAAACCACCACCCAACCCCCACCCCCAAACACCACCCCCCAACCCCACCCCACACAACCCCACACCCAAACACCCCCACCCCACCCACCCCCACCCCCCCCCACCCACCCCACCCCACCCCCCCCCCCACCACCCCCCCACCCCACCCCCCCCACCCCCCCACCCCACCCCCACCCCCCCACCACACCCACCCCACCACCCCACCCCCCACCCCCACCACCCCCCACCACAACCCCACCCCACCCACCCCCCCCCCACCCCCCCAACACCCCCAAACCCCCACCCACCCCCCCCCCCCCACCCCCACCCACCCATCCCATTCCCTACATATAAACATGGTCTGGTAGTGCAGCTGAATCACTGGACCCATCGTCACCAAGACTTTTCAAGTCCTCTTTGAATGGACTTTGTGTATTATCATCTCTAAAAACTGGAAATGAAATTAAAGATATAATTTTACTTAGAGAACTTGGGAAATGTATAATCTACAAAGAAGTATGTATATTAATCAGATTAAAAAGTAAAAAGAACATGTTAAAGAGAATAGGGAGCTATACAAACTCTACCTGGACAAATATATTCATAAATTCAACAAAACTGGCAGACTTTAATCCTATCGGGTTATCTTGGTAGGAAATTATATTCCTGAAATGCATCTAACTGAGGAACAAGACAGGACAAGAGGAGTTGATTGGCTGAAGACAGAATGACTAGATGGCATCCAAGAAAATGCAAGGAATCTCTCTCCATAAGAACACAACTTGATAGTTGCAACACAGAACTGTAGTAATCTGGAGGCTGATTGGGAGATCATAAACCAGTAATAGGTTGTGGCGCCATCTATGTAATGGTGAATGGTTGTATGAAATGAAGGATAATAAATTGTAAAAATATTTCACATAAATATAATTAGTATAAAATTTGAAATTAACAAAGTTAATTTAAAACTTAATATTCTTACCAGGTACATTAATGGCAACTTTTTCACCTCTTCGCATCCTTATATTTCTGGTAAGTGTCTTGAACCTTGGGTGTCCTGGATAGATGACTTCGTCGGGAATAAAAAGAGATCTTGAAGCACCATCCTTAACATTTGTGAATGTTTCAGGCTTCGTGAAAACTCCGCATCCCAACCTGAGACATATAAATAGCATTTAAGTAACAGCAATTTCATGCCATCATTAACCTTATTTTTTTAAAACATTAAACCAGTTTCTGAAATTAGTAAGTCTTCCAACTTAATACACTAATGGGTAAAACACTATTGGAGAAATTTATTGCATTAAAAATAAAAAGTTATAACCTTTCACTGATGGGCCCAAAAATAAAACAAATTATGTAAATATATAATGGCAGTCTAAAATAAATTTTCATATAGGAAAGAAAAACTAAAATTTGATTCATTTGTCAAACAATATAATGGCAATCCTCCTAGGTAATAAAGATTAAATGTGTAGAACTGAAACTTCATTTGAAAAACTTTGACTTTCTTGACTATGAAATAAAGAAAATTCACTAGAATAGATAGAAAATTATGAAGAATTGATCTTGATAAAAAAATGAACTCTGGAGGGTACACAAAGCGTAGTCAGTAAGAACAAAAAGTAGATTGGCACCATTCCATTGTTTCCTTATCAAAAGTAATATTCAAGGAAAGCTTCAATCAAATGGATGCAACCCTTATTTCAATACCATACATTAAACTCGAATAATACCTATTCAACATAAATGATTAATCATTTTTTAAAAAATTCAGGTCAGTCATCATAGTAAAAAGATATTATTCACTAATATTTCAGTGAATATATTTAATTTTAAAAGGAAGATTAACAAGTTAATTAAATATTGAAAATAGCTAAAAATATAATAAATAACCAAAATCATAATTAATGAAAAAAAAATTAAATCATGACAGATTCAAATAAACTAATAAGATTTTTTTCTTTAATATTTTTTTCTAATAAGAGATAATATTATTATTATAAAATATTATTCTAAATTTTGACTCTATAAGAAATAACTTACAAACAGAAAACAGACCTATGATATTTAATATATATTAAATGTACTAACTTATGATAGATAATTTACTATTATCTCCTGATAATTTATTTTTTCGTCCTCTCTTTGATTACTCATCTATTTCTGTTTGATATGAGATTTACACATGAACAAATCTCTTTTACTTTTCATAATGTTTCGTTTGATATCTAGACCAAAAATTATTTTTACATATCTCATATTTATATTTAATTTTAAATGCTCAAACTTTAATTCTTCATTATTTTATAAAATTTAAAAAGGTTTTGTTTAAAAGTAAAAAAGCATTAATTTTGATATATGAATTAATAATTAAACTTTTTTCAGATACAAAAAAAAATTTACTTTTTATGTATTAAAACATCAATATTTGTTGTTATATTATAATAAGTTTGGAATATAATTATATTTTTATTTAGTTTATTTCAATTTTGTTTTTATACCTTCATCAACATTACATAAAAATAATTGAATATTTAAACATTTTGTGCTACAGATTTTAAAGTTTCAAACTGCATTTTAATATAGCTTTAAATTTATAATCATACTACCATGAAAATTTGGACTTTTAATATCAATAACAGATATTTTCTATTACAATGCCAAGAAACAGGAGAAAAAGAAAGGAATTTATACTTATTAAAAAAAATGTATATGATTATAATCATAAATTAACATCTTATTTAACGATAAAAAATTACTTTATCTTAATAAGATTTTCTGATTAATCTAATGCAATCTATCAATTTTTAAATATACAAGAGTAATTAGGCAATAAATATAACTTATACTTATAATTAAAACTAGTATACAAAAACTGAGAAGTTAATGAAAAAATTAAAAATATCTCTCAATGATAGGCCAAATAAGGGATAGGAAAAGGGGTCAAGGCCAATAGGGGGCCAGTCATTCTAGGAGTTTTAATTTTTTTTTTATAATGAAAGGTTTGCATAGTTCTCAGCCAGTAGAAGTTGAATATTAATGAAAGGAACCATTACACAAACACATTTCTAATATAATAAATACAATTGATTTTAAATAATCATGTATCAATTAACATAGGTATGAAGATAAAAATGACCAAAAGGATATTGATGATTGGATTTTAAGTTTGAAAAATTATATGATTCACCCTTTATAAAAACAAAAAAAAAATAGATAAAATAAAAGAGTAAGTTAACAATTTTCTACTTTATTCAAATTGCATTTGAACCAGCAATTAATCACCACACATTATGATGCTAAAAGACAAATAAAGAGCAATACAAAATCTCAAAGAAGGTAATCTAGATCTTCAAAGGTAGTATTAAAATAATATTTAAACTTCAAAATACTATTAAATTTCAAAATATTAATAATAAAAATTTGGTCGAATTTCATAAAAGAAAAAATATATCTCAGGCTTCTTATTAATTTAATAATTTCTAAGAATAATTGTCGACTTTGTACAAATAAACAACACAAAGAATGAAATGGAATTATAATAATTATTAATACTTTTTGTTTGATGAATATATTTATCATATTGATTGTATAATTGCCTTTTATTTATTTTAATTGAGAGCTATCTTTTATTTTTAAAATAACATTTAAAAATAAGTTACAGTAAATAATATGGACCACTATAATTTTTATTTAAAATTTAATATCAATAAAGGGATTTAAATCAATAAATTTAATTCAGCTCCTTTCCATTTCTGAAATTTGCAGTATAGTATGTTCTTAAGAAACCTGAGGAATGTAAACATTTTTTAAAACAATCACCACTTATATCGGAAATATAAAAAATTGATTTATAATCATTCATATCAGCAGTTTTTACAATTGGAACCACTTATCACTATAATTATATATCTTCTTTTTGTGTAATTTTGTCAAATAGCAAATTTTTATCTTCTAGCATAAGCAAATATTTTTTGATACCACAGAATATCAGACTATACTAATGGAATTTGTTTTTTTCTTTCCAGTAGTTACATCACAATTAACTTTGATCTCATTTTTGTCTTCTTTTTTTTTTTTTATAAACTACAAGGCATTATAAAATTTATTATATTTTTTTATTTATTTGGAAACTGAAAATAAAAGATATAGTAAACCACAATCATGGCAATAACCCATTCGGAAAGTCTTATCTCTGTTTGAATTAATGTCAAGCCATTTATCTATTTATAATTTATAATATCAGGTAAATATATATTATAATAGATAAATAATTTACAATATTTAGAAATGTTAAAAAAATAATATAAATAAAAAAAGTTTATTTTATACTTATTGTGAAATAGAAAGACCGTAAACCCAACAGTAATTAAGATATAAAAGTCTTATGCTTTATATTATTAATATTTTTAATTAGTTTTGGAGTGTTTTTTTTTTCATTAAAAATATGTAATAAAACAGATTACTATTATTACCTAGGGAAACTTGTGAGGGTAAGCAAACTTTCTCCTTCTTGAAGCAATGCCTCTACTTCTTCTCTTCGAGCTCTCATGTTAGCTTCAACAATATTAACATGCGCTAAAAGTCCTCCATAGGGCTTCCCTGGAGTACTTTCAATCATGTAACCTGCATATTCTGGTCGCCAAAGTGACTTTACATTTCTGGAATAAAATGATTAATATATACAAAGGCAAACCAAAAAACAGAGAAAAAAAAAAAAGATGAGGTATAATAAAACCTACAAATGTTAGAAAAATAAATCCTTTATTTTTTTTGTTTGTTTTTCTTCAATAAACAGAGACCAGTTTGCTTAATAATTTCTCTCTCATCCTAGTGCAGGACTATGATAGTGTTGAACAATTAATGTACACAGTTGAGAAGCTTATTAATTAACATTTTTTTTATGAATTGACATTTTCAGCAAAAGCAGATACTTTACAGCTGATTTCATGGGTTGTTAAATAATCTAATGGATTTTTTTAAAAAAAGAATAATGTCGGTTTTAAGCTATCAAAGGAATAATGTTAATAAGTTTTTATTGCAGCAAAAATTAAAAAATGTTAATATAAGAAATTTTTTCAGGGTGTTAGTAACCATGTTTTACAACCAAGTACCTCAATTGTTAACAAAGGTTACTTATTTTTAATTGAATAAACTAAATAAATATTAATGTTTCCTGGTTCTCATTCATTCTTAGTATTATTAAAGTTACAGAAATTTACTAATGTTACCAAGGGCACAGCCAAATGAAATCATTTAGTATATTATTTTGGGAATTAATATGGTATATTCCTTTAATAAAATTTTATTATATATCAATCAGAACACTCCTTAATATTATATTTTTTTTATACTGAAATTGTTAGTTAAAAAAATAGGAGTGTTAATGAATGAATGTGTGCAGATATATATTGATGAATAATTTTTTTTTTTTTTATTCAACGATACTTACTTATTTTTTAACAAGGAATTTTACTGTACTAGAGAAAAACAATGATCGTTAGAGATAACAAAAAAAAAAAAATTATGGATTAATTTCAACAAAACTAAAGTTAGTGACAATCGAACACGTGATAAATGGGAGCTTATTAAATAATATTTGGTATGATGACTAACCAGTATAATATTACTTTACAGCAACACTTATTTCATCATTTGTTAGGTATCGATATCATATTTCAATTTGCTGAGTAATCATAACAGAGATCAAAATGTTTAAACTTCAACACAAACAAAATTTTCTTTAAATTAAAATAGCATAGTTACTTACGCAGGATCTTTTGCTTCTTTTTCCATCAATATAGGAAGAATTTCATGAGCTCGAAGACTAAGAGTAGCCTTCTTCCGCTGTTCATCAAAATGAACAAGCATATATTCAACCTAATTAGTTATGAAAAGAAAATGATAGAGATTCAATGATAAATAATAAAAGAAAAAAATAATAAATTTTATTAGAAAATAACAATTAGGTAATAGATAATTTTGAAATATGATTTTTAAATAGGCTGAATTAAATAGTCAGAATGTTATCAACATTGTCTATTTCCAGAAATTGAGCAGGAAAAAGAATAATTTTATAAAGACAGCGAAAATTAAACAAAAACATTCTAGGATTATTATAAAGGAAATATTAATTTTATTATTCTGATTACTTTAATACAAAAACTTCACTCAAAGTTAGTTGTACAAAAGGTAATGAAAAGTTATTGATGTATATCTACTCCTATAAGAAGTAATCTTTAAAAAAAGATATATTCTTGTCCTAAAAGGATAACAATTGACATGGTATTAAATTAAGCTTCTTTCAAAATGATATGCATTTATATTTGTTATAATAATTTTAAAAAATCAAGAATATATGAATTCTAGTATAGAGACATACATATCCCCTAAAAAGAATCATAATGATTTAAATTTATTTTTCTTTTAATTCAATACACATTACATGATATACAGGGGACCACAGCATTAAATTATTTTTACTAAAAAAAAAAATAAATAATTAATTAAAATATAAAATATAATATTAAAGGCTTACCTCATCACCCCATTTCAAGCCATCCCCTGTCCTGTTCTTGAGATTGTGATATATGTTAATAAACTGCTTGATACCCTCTTGCCTCACATGTTCGGCTAAATCCCGCGTTTCATCCCATGATAAAGGACTGCCTTCACTCAACAGACCCATCTCCCACGGTACCCAGTAACCTACTGGTCCTTTCCTAACCTACGCTAGCCTCTATCCTCCTACCATTTTATAACCTTGAGCTACAAGGTTTGTTGACGCACTTCAATCGCTTTGGCTGGATCAGGCTGTATTTTCCTCTTTTCTATAATTCTTTTTCATATATCCATATTTAGTTTTATAACCTGTATTAATTTATGCAAACGCGTGTTAATTATTTGACGAATATGGCTCACACAATTTGCTCATGGATTCTTATAAGTTTGTTTCTCAATTTTGTGAAATTAAGGCCCGACATGAGTTGCGATTTATCGTAGATAACATAATCTATCGATAACATCGTGTAATGTTTGGTATTAGATAAGATGATTCTTGCTATTTCAAGTTCTTGAATAAACTCATTAAAAGCCCTCCCAGGTTAATTCGTGTTTGTTTTTTTTCCCCTCTTGCCATTAGCAACAGTTATGTTTTAATTTTGTGCAATTTTTCGCTTACGTTAACATTTAGTGTTTGTTTATGTCTTGACCAAGTGCAGCTTTGATTACTTGATGTTTGTGATATCCTCTAATCTTAAGGTAAAAGATTTTTTAATTGTTACCAATCTGTTTAATTTTAATTTGGTCTTTAAAATTGTTGACAATTCCTTTTTTTAATTTACAATAGAGGCATTAACAGGTTATGATGAATGTTTTAATTTATTGTTGTTGTTTTATTAATTTTGATATCTTGTCTTATGATTGTATATAACCAAATAAATTTGTTTTTCTCTTTTCCATCTTGTTCCATATTTTTAGGGTCCAGAAAATTTTTAATAATTAGTTTGTCAAGGTTTCACTGTTATGAACAGGTTATGAAGTCTAGTAGTTTTAATATCTTGTTATTGATAGCAGATAACTTCACTAGTGAAAATATATTTATTTATTTTTTTTAGCAGTTTGTAAGTTTGAGCAACACGTGCAATATTTCCTGATATATTAGTTAATATAATTAGAATTTGAAATTCTTTAGCAATGATAGATTTTATATATGTATATGTATTACTTTTATTAATCTCTAAATTTGTTGGTTTAGTGATCTTTGGAATCATGAGTGGGGAAAAGAAGATTATTTTGGTTACTGGAGGTAGTGGATTAGTCGGTAAAGCAATTCAGAAAGTTGTAAACCAAGAATCCAATAAGCAAGAAGAATGGATCTTTCTCAGCAGCAAAGATGGTGATTTGAGGTATTTCATGTTCCAACTTAGTATTTTATCTTTAATTGCCATATTTCTGTAAGTGTAATACTAAACTTTTTTTTTTTTTATTCTTTCATTAAGCAAATTTGACGAAACGATTAGGCTCTTTAAAAAGTATTCTCCTACACATGTGATTCATCTTGCAGCTATGGTTGGCGGGCTGTTTCATAATATGGATCATAATTTGGATTTCTTTGTAAGTGAATTATCTTATAGATTATATTAACGGAAAAAATCGTGAAGGTCTAGGATGAAATACCTTGAGAGAAGTTGAATTAGGCAAACCTAATAGAGGTTTCCAAAGTAGAATTAATAAAGATGACTACCTTGAAATAGGTTGTATTCAAATTTTAGTCAATGACTTGCTTCTTATATTTTTTTTTTTTTGTCTATATTCCCTATACTAAATAGTCTATGGGATTGTGTCATAAGAATTAACTAAGATCTATATATTGTATTTTTAGTTAGTAACTTGCCTCTTATGAAATTATCTTAAATATTAGAAAATTAAATTATTTTCCCTCATTGCTTATTTTATCTCTAACTTTTCTCCATTATGAACATTACCTAGTCATGCATTTTTGTTTTATGTAAATTAATATTTATTAAACTTTTAATTATTTATTTTTGGTCGTTTTTTGTAATTATATTGTTATTGATTTTTGGGCTGAGGCGTCGTTTGGTGTGGGGAGTTGTATATTTTTCCAGTTGTGTACTTTGTTATATGCTTCTTATTTTATTATCTGTTTGGGTTGGTAAATGTTTGCATTTATTGCGGTTATCAGGCACACGTTTTGGGGGTAGGTTGTGTTTGGGAGTGGTATCCGATTGTCCATTTTCACGTGTTCGGTGTGGCCGTGCTGGTTCGGGTGTGGGTTAGTTGTGTATTGGTTGTCTTTAGTGTGTAGGTCTGTGATCGTGTTTATCTATGTTTGTTCGGTTGGAATATTTATTTTCTGTGGGGGAGGGTTGGGGGTGGTAGTGGTCTTATGCGTTTATGAGACGTTAGGGCTGGCGGGTGAATGGGGGTGATGGGGCATTTCTCGTTGCGGTTAGGCGGGTAGATGGTGTTTGTTGATTAGGGTTTATTGTGTTCGGTGGAGGTTTTGGGGCGGGGAGGGCCGGTGTGGTTTCAGTATGAGTGGTGGGGGGTTGGGGTGATGGTGGTTTGTGGGAGTTTTTGGTGGGTGTTGGGTGAGAGAGTAACGGTGGAATGGTTGTGGGGGGCGTTTGGGGGGAGAGATTGTGGTGGGGGGGGTAATACATGTGTCAAGTAGTTTTTATTTCTCTCTCTTACATTTTTACTGCATTGATATAGTGATTGCAATGGTCTTTGAAGTAAAATCTTTATCAGTTTCATTTGGATAAAATTATTCAAGTTTTAATGTTTTATTTATTAAGCCCTAATTTTTACCTCTAATTCATAAATGAACAAAAATACATAAATTAATTATACAGGCTTTCATACGCAGTCTTGGTTATCTAGATTGATAGTCAATTGTTTCTGTCCATATTATTTGCAGTCCATATAGATATAATGAAACAATTGTAAAAAGTTTCTTCACTTCAATTTCAGTAATTGTGCAATAAGGAGTACAGTTTTCCTTAATCAAATGATTACATAATTAAATTCTGCAAAAAAAAAAAAGAAATGTCTAGTATGTGAAGTGAATTATTTGAAAATCTACTGAATTAATGTACTGAACTAACATTTTTAAATATTAGACTCAATTTTTTTTTTTATATATTCGCTAATTTGTTTTTCAATTAGTTATATTATATTATTATTTCAAGTATAATGCTTGTTACAATATTTTTTGGAAAATGCTAAGTAATCTTATATTTTTTGTTATGATACAGAAATCATCACTTTCAAATTAGTGTTCTAGCTTTGTATCTAACAAATACACATCAAGCGTATTATAAGTTGTATAACTGCATTCATTTTATTCAAAATAATTATTTTATTGCTTTCTTTAGTTTATTAAGAAAGTAACGATTACATATTTTATGTTAATAAAACTATCGTATTCTGATAATGTTTTATAAATTAATTATGTTTTAAACATATATTTATTTATATATTTTATCATGGGTGATAAATAGTCAGGACGCAGTCATTATAAACATTTTTTTATTTGGGTCAACGTTTAAAATTGTAAACTTTATATATTTTATTATTATACGCTTATTATTTATTTATCCCTTCTTTCTTTATCACTTTCTTATTTTTAACTTTTTATTAAATCAATATACCTTTCCGTTTTTTAGATTGTATGATATACATATCGTTTTTAAAAACGATTACTGTGGTGGTTATTGGTGCACCTTTAAATTATGGACAATAGTAAAAGTAAACAAGTTTACTTGTTGGAATAATGAATACTATGACTTGCTTCTTGAAAAATAATTGTCTAATTGCTGTCTAGTATATAATATCTTGAATTATGTTCAAATAATACCTTGATGTAATTTTTTAGGTGAAATAAATATTTAAAATTTAAATTATAAATATATATATATATATATATATATATATATATCGAAGAATTATAAATGTAACTCAATTTTAGAAATTTTATTTTATGATAACTATAATTGAAAAGGTTATTTCAAAAATGACACAATTTTGAGAAAAAAGCTGAAAACTATCTCATCAAGAACTTATAAATATAAAAATCTACATTAATAAGGTAGAAACTATCTGTATAATATTTAAGCAATGTCTGTTTTTGTAGGAAAAGATTCCCCTCTGAACAATGTATCCAAAAACACTCAATTCAAAATTTCTAAAAATGACACATTTGTCTTTTTTGACATAAAACATTCAATAATTTAAATTTATTTACTTTTTTTAGAGATTGAATATGTTAATCAATGACAATGTTCTTCGAGCAAGTTTTGATTCTGGTGTTGTGAAAGTTGTATCCTGTTTGTCTACGTGTATTTTTCCAGATAAGACGGAATATCCAATTGATGAAACAATGGTTGGTATGACAGCATTTAGGTATTATTACTTTAAATCATTTAACAATATTGTCTGATATTTATATTAAAATACAATTATGAATTCAAACATAAATGATTAGGTTCTTTTGAAATGAATAAAAATGTTTCAAACCAGTCAATGAAGTAATTATTTCTTAAAAGTTTTTTTGAAGTAAGATTGATGAATTATGTAAGATTGATTTTTTTTTAAATAATTAATCTTGTATTTAATGTATTAGTGTAAATTAATAAAATCAATCTTTTAAAGTTTAATATTAATAGCAATCAAGCACTATTCAAGGAAATATTTTTCTTATATACAAAAATATACTTTTATAACTTAAGATTTTTATAATCATTATATTTTTTATTTAATTTCAATAATTGAAGACTTATTTATGTTATCTTGATGCTGTGGTAGACTTATGAGTAATTTTTTGTTGATGACATAAGCGTCTGTTGATAGTGATTAGGCCTTGTGTTGAGTCATCTGTAATAAGAATTCAGTTTGCATGCTTTCAGTTTCAATTTTTGAATATCAATGATTACTTTTTATTTACATTGATATTTGCATATTTTTATACCCTTAGTGTTTTTATTTTTATTAATTTGCTATGATTGTATATATGTTAAATTTAGCTTGTATATATGTGACCTAAATTTTTCTTGACATTATTCATCACTATGTATTTGAAATGTGATTTCTTTTACAAATAGTTCTCGTTTCTTTTTTTTTTCAGTTGTGTTATAGGGATGAAATAAAATTATTTGTTAAAAACTAGTTATTTACAAACATTTTGAAAATATCTGTATCACCTTTTGAAATAAAGTGAGTTGCTAACATTTATCATAATGTGATAAACTGTATTTCTTAGTATTTTTTTTATATATATACGTTGTGTAATGATAATTTGGTTTGATTCTTTAAATAAACTTATATTTCTCACATTTTCATAAAGGAATAGCAAAATTTAATTTATATTTTAAAAATAAAATAGTTCATTTTGGAAGAGAAATGTTATCAAGATATATAGCTTGAATTATTTGTTATTATTTTTTTTCTGAAAATTTGGTTTTATTTTGTTAATAAGCATTTTCCATGTTAACTGTCCATTGGTCCATTAATAGAATGAAGTTAGCATTGAGTACAGTTTAAATAGTTTTCAAATAGTGAGTGATTTCCGCATAACCTATTAAATACAAGATGTCCTGGTAACCTTGAAGAATGAGAATCCTGCTTGCATTTTTCGTGTCAGACCACTAGCGGATCCAGGATGTAATTTTTGGGGGGGGGGGCTTCAGCCCAAAAGATTTTTTTTCATATATATATATATATATATATATATATATATAACAATAATTAAATTGAAAACAAAATAAAGAAATTAATTACCTATATGAAATGGTGTATAAGTGGTTCTTGAAGTCCTATTAAATATAATTACACGAACAAGAATACTTATAGAAATAGTTTTTAATATTTTTTTCTGTAAAACATGGTTATATTTTACCATTTTGGGGGGGGGCTTCAGCCCGAAAGCCCCCCTGTAGATCCGCCTGTGTGTCAGACTATCTTTAAAAATCAACCAGTCTTCAGGAATTTTCAGTTTTTTTGTCTAATAAATCTATTTTTTCATTAGTATTTAGCAACAACTATAAAATAATAAATATAATAAATTATTTGAAGAAAAAATGTACATTTTATGGTTTATTTTAATCATTTTTTCATACTCAAAATTATTGATTCTGTCTGTATTTTCTAGTTGTTCTTATTTTTGGTTGTATATCAAGCTCTGAGTGTAATAACTTAGATATCACTTTTTCATCATCAAGCAGGAAAACTACTTTTTTATTCAAATCCAATCCCAAGTCCGAATTATATATTTTATCAAAAGGTGACCAAATATAACATTTTATGGTTCCGATTTTTTTTTTTTTTTTTTTTTTTATGCAATAAATTGAATTTTATATTTAACAGCCTTGAGGTCCTTAATTGTTTTCATGCTGTATTACTGGGCCATGACCAAAGTGAGAGATATAAACAGTGAATTTTTTACTTTAGCATTTACTGTTAAAACGTATATTTATTGTTTAATAAAAACAGCACCTAGAAAATTATCTTAGGATAAATATTGGAAAAATAATTAATAAAGTTTTGAAGGATTAAGTGATTGTCTGACTCATGCTGTTATAATTCACTGCCATTTCTTATAAATTGGTCTAATAAATTAAAACTGTTGTATTTATAGCAATGCTAGAGATTAACTTTACTTTCATTACAAGATAAGCAATTGTCAAAGGTTATGAAACTGTACTTAAAATTTTTTTGTTGAATTAAACTACGCCCTTTCAAATCTTTTCGAACAGTTATTTTACTTTCACTTACCTAAATATGATTTGAACAGGAGAAATTTGCATTTTATTGTTTCTAGATTCCAAACAACCAATTCTTGCAAAATGGCCTCTATATGTATATAAACAGCCTAGCTCAAAAACAAATAAAGTTGTACGAATCTGAAATTAGTTATGTAAATCTTTTGGGGTGTTTTTCTATTTCATTAAATATGTCTTACAAGATGTGCCACTTTAATCCTTTTTACAATTTTATGTAAACTGTATCAAAGTCCATTGTTATTTAATATTGACTAGGTCTTATTCTGATTATACCTGCTCATTAAATGCAGATTTGAGTAGGTTTCAACAGACTAACCAAGATTGATAAAACTGCAGACATCAGCTCATGATATAAATATTACCGCTCCCAATTGATTCTTCCTCTCCATTCACTGATCTCATAAATGTGGAGAAATTAAAAAGGCTGTTGCTACTTGCATTTTTTTTTTTTTTAATATAGTGGTAATTTATTATTTTTCTAAAATTTATAAATAAAACCATTTGTGTTTGAATGGCTATTTATAAGTTCCTATTTGGGGAGCATTTTAGTGCATAATAGATAATAGATTATATTTCCTTACTTCTAGATCATAAAAAATTTATTAAATTCAAGTTAGCTGTAATTACCAAGATAATATTGTCATTATCACGATTTTAAAAGGTTAAATTTTAAATTTACCGAGAAAAAAATACTTTTGATCTTGGCCATTTGCTCAGGTTAACTGATAAAGGGTAATAAAAGGTGTAGGTATTTTGAAAATTGTATTTAACTGCCGTCAAAATTATTAAAATTTTATCATGAAAATTGCCCGTAATCAGAGAATTAACCATAACAACAATTTTTTAATATTTCGATTTAAAATTAATCCAAAAATTATCTATCTACCATGTACGGCTTCATACAATTATTTTTAAATATTTCATAATGTAATTGGCCTAATGCTTTAAAAAAAAAAAAAAAAATGGCACCAAATCTAAAAACTGGCAAGAAAATTAAAAATCGATATTTTTTTAAAACTTTTAAAATGTTTAAACAATATTGATATCTCTCATCACTTTTATAGGTTGCTGAAAAAAGTAAAATAAAATGCAAAATCTTAGGTTTTCTAAATCCAAATAAACTAATGATATAAAATTCTCTATGACAACAGAACCACATTTTTATCATTGGTCTTGATAATAATAATAAAATTTGATTAAAATATTTATTTAATATTATTTATAATTAGTTTATTATTATTTTAATAGTTTATCTGAATCTTGACATTATAATTTATATTTTTAAAATTTGCAAATTTTTATCTGAAAACCATGGTTAGGATCTTATTATATTCTATTTAATTATATTTCTTTACATTTAATCGAACACGAGATTAAAGTTAATCGTTATGATTCACTTTTGAAGCAAACAATCTATTTGACTATTCCGTTAATCTACTTCGGCTGCAATTAGCACACTAACCTTAATTGCTACAAGTCCCTTTTGTACCTATTTGACTTTTTATCCTAACATTTACCCATCGAAATCTAAAGATGTTTATATTCTTAGATGAAGTTTCCTAGGGTCTCGTTCCAGTGGTGGAATTCGTTCCGCCCAGAATGGCCGATCCCTAATTATAACCTTATTAGCCTAGTCGTATATGTTTCGTTACTTCCATTTTTTAGTTTAGATATTAAAAAAAAATTAAATTATTATGATTTTAATCCTTTCATAATTTCTTTTACATTTCAAAAGTTTTCCCTACAACAATATATCATTATATTTAAATGTGTTACTGACAGATTAGTAATCAAGTAACTACTAAGTTTAGCATATTTAGAAATCAGTAACTGCATTTTTCATGTATTCTTTACTGCATATTCCAGTGTTTTTTGCTGGATATTACATGGCATATTCTATGTCGGTGTTTACTGCCTAAAGATCCTGGCATATAATATTAACTAGCCCTACCTAAGCAAATATTAATTTCAACGCAAAGTAAGGCGGTAAAGCCATTTTGGTGAGCCATAGCTTGCTTAAATGATTGCCTGTCATTACGATTGATTGCTGTTCCCTTTCAGTTCCTTTAACAAAGCAGTGTTTTTGCATCAGCATATATTCTTTTTGACAAACCTTGGTATGTCCCACTCATTTATTAGCAAATACCTGCTTTGAAAAATTTTTTAAAAGAATTTTCTTCTAGTTCATTTTAGCAATATAATGCAAGGGAATGTATTTGATAATTCATTTTTCATTCAGTTGGAATATTTTTTTTTGTTTATAATTTCCAATATTTCATGAAGTATTTATTTATTTATTAATAATAAAGGGTTGGAGTTATTTTAATCAATGAAATATTAATTATTTTCATTCTATTTCTTGAAGTATTTTATTAATTTTCTTTATTGTAGAGAATATATTCAAATTTTTATAATAAAAAAAATGAACTGTAATTATAATATTGAATATATTATTCCCTTAGCTTTTTCAGAGCTCAGGTTAAACAGGAATAGCTTATTTTATATTTATTTATAAGGTCAAAGATTTGGCTGATTGGGAAATCAGAGAAAGTTGGTGACCTATTTTCTCTCTAATTATATGTGATTTAATATGAATTTTATCTAATTGAGTCTTACTTAAATCTGTTTTTCCCCTTTTTTTTATTTTGTTTATCTTATTGTTTTATACAGGTATGATATAGATAGAGCTTATTCACAAGTTTATTCTACAATAAAATAATTCAAATTTTATTCTTATTGCTGACAAATATCGATCTTTATAATATAATACGATAGTTTTTTGCAGTAATGATCCCTTTTCCGGCTCTCAGGAGTGATTTT